AAAAACTTTGATTTAGGATAAAATTTTATTTTCGTCCAGAAAATTTTGCTATTGTGCATGTGACATATATTGTATTTCGGTATGCTATGAATATTTTAAAACTTCTGAAAAAAATGGTAATAAATTTGTTTGGATATGAGTCAGGCTAAAGCATGAAAAAATTTGATGTGAAACATTTTTAATGAATCGAGTGTGCATTCAAATTTTGACTTACTAAGATCAGCATTATTCTTGATGCAAATTTCATGTGGTTTGTGATTTTAGCAAAATTTATATAGAATTCAATTCATGCAGAAGACTCTGTGCCTCTGAGCAAAGCTTGGAATAACCAACTTGGAGGTGGAACCAAATGAATATTTTTGTATAAATTAAAATACCAACCGTTTTCAAAATTCTTAGAATGTGTATTTTTCTTCAGAACATAATGACTTTCAACAAGTGCTCAATCGGTGGAAAGATGTATGGGGATCCACCTGTAGTCATCAAGACAGCTGCTACTTCAGACATTGATGACACGCAGTCCATTGACCTATCTGAGGACAATCCATTTTTCGAGCCGGAATTCAAGTTTTATGACCCAGTTCTTCTCATGGACGTGAAATCAGGAAATCAAGCTGTGCATGAATTCTTCAGGGTCTTGGCTTTGTGTCACACTGTCATGCCTGATCACAACCGACAGGATGGTGAGATAATATGAAATTACGCCTGAAAAATAGCTATACTGTATTTCAACTTTCGGATTCTGCACGTACACTTGTGAAACCTCTTCTGCAAAAAAAATCCTCAGATAAATTTGGAAATTAAATTCCATCCTCCAATTTACAATTTGAATTGTGACCAAAATTCGGGGAGAGAATGGAGACAAGTTCTTTTACGTTCAGCCACGAACACTTGTGTTTTAAATGGATTTCTATACAGAGAAAACAACAAATTAACTCGAAATTGATGATTTCTTCCAAGGAAAACTGGTTTACCAAGCACAGTCACCAGACGAAGAAGCCCTGGTCTCAGCAGCACGAAACTTCGGCTTTGTCTTCAAGGAACGGACTCCAAACACGATCACTACGATTGTAAGGCAAAACACATCCAGTATATCTTGAAAGCAATTGTTTTTCACGAGCTTTTTTGTTTTTCAATTTTACAGGAAATGGGAGTGGAAAAGAAATACGAACTTCTTTGCATTCTTGATTTCAACAACGTCAGAAAGCGGATGTCCGTTGTGGTTCGCGAAGACAATAACGGAAGCGGTTCCGGTAAAATCAGGCTTCTCTGCAAAGGCGCTGACAGCATTGTCATGGAGAGACTCTCTGCAGCTGAAAAAAGCAGACAAGGGTATAACAAAAAACGATGATGATGAACTTCCTGCCCTTTTGTTTCATGAAATTCAATTAATTTTAATTTTCGGCTCTTTTTTTAATGATCAGTGCCAGCACACAAGAGCACCTGAATACATTTGCCAGTGATGGTCTGAGAACCCTGGTGCTGGCAAGTAGAGATTTGGACCTGGGAACTTTCCAGGCATGGCGCAAACGTCAGCAGGAAGCTTCAGTCAGTCTGGACAACAGAGAAGAGAAACTTGACCAGGTTTATGAAGAGCTGGAGCAAGATATGACGCTTGTTGGAGCCACTGCGATTGAGGATAAATTGCAAGACGGGGTGCCACAAACTATCGCCAACTTGGCACAAGCTGGAATTAAAATTTGGGTGCTTACTGGAGACAAACAAGGTTATT